AAAGCAGAGACATTACTTTGTCAACAAAGGTCCATCTGGTCAAGGTTATGGTTTTTCCAGTGGTCATGTATGTATGTGAGAGTTGGACTATAAAGAAAGCTGAGCACTGAAGAATTGATGCTTTTGAACTGTGGTGTTGGAGAAGACTCTTGAGAGTCCCTTGGGCTGCAAGGAGATCCGACCAGTCTGTCCTAAAGAATATCAGTCCTGAATATTCATTTGAAGAATTGATGCTGAAGTTGAAGCTCCAGTACTTTGGCTACCTGATGTGAAGAACTGGGACTCATTTGAAAAGACCCTGATGCTTTGGAAAGATCAAGACAGGAGGAAAGAAAGGGATGACAGGGGATAAGATGGTTGGATGGCATCACCGATTTAATGGACATGAGTTTGAGCAAGCTCCGGGAGTTGGTGATGACAGGGAAGCCTGGCGTGCTGCAGTCCATGGGGTCGCAAAGAGTCAGACATGATTAAGTGAACTGAATTCCACTGAATTGAGAATATGTACATTGGGCAGCTCAAATTTTCACATCTCTGCATGTCTATGAATGACCACAAAAGGAATATTAATATTGATGCGGGGGTGACAAAAAATTTTTAGTAAATAGGTGTATTTTTAAAAACAGACCTTAGGGGTACTTAGGATCAACTGTACCTCTGAACCTCTGAACTTTTTCATCTCCATTGTTTACTTCTTATGCTCATCATTTCTTTCTTGAGTTGTTATAATACTCACCTATTATTGGCTCAGGTCTCCCTTTAATTCCTCCTTCTACTGCTTTAAAGAACGCATTATTGATCTTGTCACACTGCAGTATAAAAATTTATAGTGTGTAACCCCACTGGTGAAGGAATAGCTTTAAATATATCAACACATCATATAGATTAGTCCCAACCAGTCCCATCTTTAATACACACACACTACTATTTGAGCATGAGTATTCAGTGTTAAACAAAAACCAATACATTTTAATTTTATACCTCTAGGCACTTTAATGCTTTTCACAGTCTCAACAGTAACCTTATCCCTCTTCACTGCCGAATAAAGACATTATCTCTTTTGAGTAGACATTTGAATCTTTGTCAGGCAGGTGATAGCCCTCTCACTTCTATAGGTTATCTTAATTTACCCTGACTCTAGTATTTGGTTAAGTCTCCCATATACTGTGCCTTCATTAAAAATAAGAGCCGTATCAAGTTCATATAATTGTTATTTCTGCACTTATGTAATCTTTTTAAAAGTTTGATTGTATTTTTCATTTTAAGTAATTGTTTTTGACTGGGTTGAGTGTTGCCACACAGAGCCTTTTTCTAGTTGCAGAGGGCGGGGGCTACTCTCCAGCTGCGGCGCATGGGCTTCTCTCGTTGTAGAGTTCAGGCTCTAGGGTCACAGTAGTTGTAGCATGTAGGCTCAGCAGTTGTGGGGCACAGGCTTAGTTACCCTGAAGCATGTGGAATCTTCCCAGACCAGAGACTGAACCCATGTGCTCGGTCTTGACAGGCAGATTCTTAACCACTGGACCATAGGAAGTCCTCTAATATGTTTTATGAATGTGGCTTCCAAAATACCTAATAGTATCAGGCTTAGCATCTAATCCTTGTTAACCTAATATATGTGATGAGTTCATGAATGAATGCATGAATGAATACTTAACTGAACTTTGGTCAATTCATGAGAGATTTTTGATTTGTCGTATACTTTCATTAGCAATTCATAAGAGATCATAAAATGACAGTCCAGAACAATATAGTCACTAAAATTAAAGCAACTAGAGTATGTCAGCATTTGGTGACATTTGTTTCTTGTGTAATCTCTCTTCAGGATTGTATTATGTTTCCTGTAGGATGGAAACAGGATGACAGCCCTTTTGAAATTCACTCTGAGCTGGTGGCACTCATGTTCAGTTGGTGGGTGAATTACCAATAACTTTATTGCTAACAGGATTGCTTAGGGAAACAATGAGAGAAGAAATGTGTTAAGATTCTGAAGAATATTGAGTTATAAACATTATTTTATAGTTAGTTTCTTTTCAGGGATATTATAGAACAGAAAATGATAATATCAAGAGCAGTTCGATGAAATAGTTTGTAAATTGATAGTGTGAAAAACTTGACTGTATTTATTTTTCCTTGGAAAGTAATAACATTTGAAACCACAGATGTCTTTTACTATGATCCATCTTTACATTTTAGAAAAGTCATTTATATGCTGATGAATTTAATACCTTTTGCCCTCATTTTTAGATGAACATCATTGAGTTACTTGGATGTTAGCAAGAAAAATTAAACTTCTTAAATGCTTCATTCTTGACTAGAAATTGAGTATTTTATTATATTTCTCTCTAATGGATGAAAAACTAGAAAGGATGCAGTTTTATCTGTGAGAGTTTTGTTTTTTATATCTAAAATGTGTTTTAGTATTGCTTGGAAGCGATCATAAAGCTTTTATCTCTCTCTGTATTCATAAATGCTTGTGTGTATGTATCTATCTGTTTTTCAGTCACATAGTCCTGTCTGAGTCTTTGCAACCCCATGAACTGCAGCACGCTAGGCGTCCCTCTCCTTCACCATCTCCCAGAGCTTGCTCAAACTCATGTCTATTGAGTCGGTGATGTCATCCAACCATCTTATCCTCTGTCGTCCCCTTCTCCTCTGACTTCAATCTTTCCCATCAGGGTCTTTTCCAATGAGTTGGCTTTTAGCATCAGGTGGCCAAAGTATTGGAGCTTCAGCATCAGTCTTTCCCTTGAATATTCAGGGTTGATTTCCTTTAGGATTGACTGGTTTGCTCTCCCATAACAAGATTAATACCCCACAAGGCTTGTGTATGTATTTCTATCTATTTAAAAAATTATTTAATTTTAGTTGATGGATAATTGCCTTACCATATTTCGTTGGTTTCTATTAATTTTTTTTTCTTCTGAGATTGGGATTCACAATCTAATACGGAGAAAGAGAAGTAGAATTGTACAGCATAATGAAAAAAAAAATTACCTTTGACCTTGGATCTAGTCTTACCTCTAACTTTACCAGTAAATTTATGTTACTTTAAGGAAGCCACATGATATCTCTGGGCCTTATTTCTCTAACTTGTATAAATGACTCAGTTGGACAGTATACTTTCTAAGATTGAAATTTCTTTGTTGAAAGATGAAATTTTAGGTACTACACAGATGTTGACAGATTTATTCCAAGCATAGAACAGATGCTTAACACATTGGATACATATTTGTTAAACGAAGGAATCCTGTGTGATGGGTACTTTTATGTGTCAACTTGACTTGGCCACGAGGTGTCCAAAAATTTGGCCAAACCTTACCTGGTGTGTCTGTGAAGTTTTATCTGGATAAGATTAACATTTGAATCAGTAGACTGAGTAAAGAAGACTGCTGTCCTAATTGGGTGAACCTACTCCAACCAACTGAAGATTTAAATAGAACAAAAAGGCTGAATAAGAGGAAACTCCTCCTGACTGCCTGCTTGAGCTGGAATGGGTCTTTTCCAAACCGAAGCATCAGCTCTTTTGGGGTCTCAAAGTCTGCCAACATTTGAACTGGAACTTACACCATTGGCGCTCTCTGGCCTTTGGATGCAGACTAGAATCACACATTGGCTCTTCTGGGTCTCTAGCTTGCCAACTGCACGATGGGGTACTTCTTGCCTTCATAATTGTGTGAGGTAATTCCTTATAATTTAATCTATCTATCTATCCATCCATCCATCCACCCATCCTATTGGTTCTGTTTCTCAGGAGCACCCTAATACATCCTGTATATGTTCATCTCCTTAATTCTTATTTCTCTACTTATATCCAATTAGACATTAAGTTTTGTGAATTCTTCTTCCAAATTGTCTGGCATCTTTACAAACTAAATTTTACTGAATTGAAGCTACTGTTAATTTTTTAAAACAATGCACACAGTGTCTTCCTTTGTTCAATATCTCTTCCCACAAACCTGTTTAACAAGTGGACTAACAATTTTCTAAATATATATTTTATTATAAATAAGTGGTTTTTTTCTAGGTAAGTTTTGAGATTTCTTTTTTTCATGGCATGTGCGCTAATGAAATTAAGATATAGGACTACTGTACAGATTAGTTAATTTTTAAATGCAAGGGATTCATTTGTATTTAAAATAAAAGGACAATGGGGAATAAATAGTGAGTAGCAAACCATTGGTATCAAGTATGCAAAATGTAAGATTCATGAGATATAGATGTATTAGAATCATAGCTTCCTTTTTATAAAGGATAGCTACTTTTTATTAAGTAGACAACATGCTAGGTATTGGGGAAAGAAAGATAAACTTAGCCTTAAAAAATTGTCTGATGGAGGAGACACTGCCTTATATTAGAGGGAAGAATCAAGTCTTATGACTGGAGTTGCTTTCTTCTACTGTTAAATAGGGTATTAGTAATATAGTCGTTCCTTTATACTGTTATGGGTTTTAGATTAAAACCAACTTGTGCTTCTTTTTCTTGTTACATGAACACCACAGATTATTTGTGCTGTTGGTGGATTTGGTTGGTCTCTGTTGGGTTCCACATGTCTTCTCATTCTGGGAGTCATGTTAAGAGGTTCACATTTGAACATCCTGTTCCTATGGTGAAGACAAGAATAAAAGATACAGAATCAGATTGTATGCAGGTGCACAAAGCTTCTGCCCAGACATAAGGTACATCTGGTTTACCCAGATTTCATTGGTCAAATCAAGGCACATGTCCAAGCCCCAAAAGAGCAAATACTCTGCCTTCAAGGAACATGGCACAAGTAAGAAACAAATTATTTAGGAACAAATAATGTAATCTACTGCAGGATGTAATACATGTAAAACACATAAGGGATTTAGTGCATCTGGCACAGAGTATAATGTTTGTAATTACACAATATAATGTTTATAATTATATGATAATATCAATAATGATGATAGTAGCTAAATGGTAAAGAAACACAGATAATGCAGTAATTTCATTATTGCAGGGGACTGTAGGACATCATCACAGAGGAGGAAATATTGGGCCAGTAGTTCAGGGGAGAAAGAGAGGAAGGTAGCTCCAGATGGCAAAATACAGTACTGCAGAAAAAGAGTAGACTAGAGGCGAGGTAGGTATGGGGTTTATGAGCCTCCCTGGAAGTTATGTCTTATATCTAAGTAGTTACAACATTTATGATAACTTCCAGTTATAGAATATTTAATTAAAAGTAGCTTAAATTGCAAAACGTGTGTGTGTCACTGAACAAGAAGTCAGTGGTGAATTTCAGGGTTCATCCAGTGTTATAAGCATGTTTTCACTAAGGCGTTTTACCTTTCCACCCTTCTATCCTCAGGGTGATGGCTTTTGTCCTTAGGGCTTTCCTCCTCTATCCATACATTAACTTTTGAAGCCCAAGGTGTCATAACCTCACTCAGTAGCATTTAAATGCGGGATGAGAGTATCTCTTTCAGCATCCCTCTCTCTTTTTTAAAAATCAGGTCTGAAAATATTTTTCAGAAGCCCCCTTCAAAGCTGAATTCTTATGTTACATTGGCTAGAACTAGCTCAGATGTCCACTCCTACATAATCAGTGGCAAAAAGAAATGGAATTACCATGACTGATTTAGCACAATAATGGTGTAAGGAAGTTCTTACCTTCTCTAAATACATTTCTTCTTCTGGACAAGAACAAAATCAAGATTCTCTTAGCAAACAAGAGAGTAACAGCTCTTAGGCCTTCCATGATATCTCTCATGCACAGATATGAGATTTGTGTTTTCTATTCAAGATGTGTTGGTAACATGGGACACAGTAGAGGGTCCAGGGCTTTGTGTGACAGCCCCCTTTGCCTTCAAAACTTTTCAGAAGTTTGGCAAATGTATGATCTGATTTATATGACGAACTGTAATAGCCTTCATTGGGGAAATACCTGTCCTTTTTCCTAATAAGCACATTCGGTAGATCCCTTATCCTATTATTTTTTTTCCTTTTCTCTATTGATATATTGTGGCAAACTTCATCAATACTGACAACTTTCATGGTTCTAGAGGTTGAGAAGTCCAAGATTAAGATGCCAATAGATTTCAGGTCTGGTAAGAGCCTACTTCCTGGCTCAGAGACGGCTGCCTTCTTGCTCTGTGCTCTTCGTGTAGTCATAAGGGCATCAATCCCATTATGGTACCCCCTGCAACACCTTATCTAAACCTAATTATCTCCCAAAGTCTCCAGTGCCAAAAACATCACATTGTGGGTTAGACTTCAGCATACAAATTGGTTTACAGGAGGCACAAACATTTAGTACATAGGAATACATCATAATTTCTTTTTTTTTTAAAAAAAGACAATTTTGTATAAAGCCCAAGGACAAAGAATGCAGCAGTATACTCCCTTGAAATTCACTCATCCTTGTGCCATTTCAGAGGCCAATTTAAACATCTGATCAATTTGGAGCTTTCTTGAATGGGATGTTGATTCCCAAGAGTAACTGCAGGGAACAGTAAATGCTGACAAGATGGCATGAGTCAACATATACACACACTTAAGATTTAAAAAATGGTAAAGCTTAATTAATCACAATGAAAAAAATTAAGGTCCTGAAGCAAAAGGTGAGAATTCATCTATTTCCCTCTCAATCCATATTCTAATATTCAGACAGCATTGTTCTGTGACTCATCGGGCTAATCTCCCTGTTTATGACATCTTTCAATGCCCACATATTTTCAGTTCTCATGACTTCCTTTTGCTCATATGTTTGAGTCCATTATGTTAGCTATTCATTAGTGTATTAGAGAAGTCTCTACCACTTTATCCTTCAGTGTCTTACATTATAGGCTTTTTGGCCCCCATATCCCTACTGCCTGATAGAATTTAAATCACAAAATGGAGAAAAAAGAAGAAATCAGGATGCATGGAGTTTATGGGAAAGATTAATAATAAGAAATAATCTGAAAAAATAAGAAAACAATGAGGACAAAGAAGTTAAAAATGGCTGTATAGTGGGTGGACCCCTTGAGGAAAAAGACTTCATAACCATGGAGAAGGAAGATGGGTTTAGTCAACACAGTTGTTATATAAAAAGCAGATCCTGCTTTTCGCAGTTTGATTGGTAATTTTAACTTTTAAAACATTGAACAAACAAAGCTTTCTCTTAAATATTTATGTCAGGATTTATGGCCTATCTCTTGATTTTTCCTGCTGAAAATAATTAACAAAAGCAATTTTTAGATTCATTTTAGCAACTTACATATTCCCATTATATTAAAAATACTATGAAGAAAACACGCTTAAAGTAGATGGAAGTCTCTCTAGGAGCAAAGACATAATCAAGCATGGTCCTAGGCAACTTCCATTCAGCATCTCATGCAGTCTTTCAACAATCCTGAGAGGGGTGCTTATGTTCATTTTATATATGGCTGAATCTAACCTCACAGTGTTCAAGTAGTTCACCTAGGGTTTTCAAATGGGGAACTGGGACTTGAGGCTCTCTCTCTCACTCCAAAGCCTGTCTGATTCATTCTCTATTATGTTTTTAAAGAGGTGCATGCTAAGTTGCCTCAGTTACGTCCGACTCTTTGTGACGTTATGAACCGTAGCCCATAAGGCTCTTCAGTCCATGGGATTCTCCAGGCAAGAATACTGGAGTGGGTTGGCATGCCCTCCTCCAGGCGATCTTTCCAACCTAGGGATTGAACCCTCACCTCTTAGGTCTCCTACATTGACAGGTTCCCTATCATTAGCGCCACCTGGGAAGTACCTTTTAAAGAGCTGGATGAGAGTTTTTTAAAAAAAACAGGTTTAGAAGAGCATTAGAATGAATTTGGGGAGAAGGAAGTGGCAGCCACTCCAGTATTCTTCCCTGGAGAATTCAATGGACAGAGGAACCTGGCGGGCTGCAGGCCATGGGGTCACAAAGAGTCAGACTCAACTAAGTGACTAACAGTACTACTAGAATGAATTTGTGATAAATATATCTATTTTATATACTCACTAATTTAGGAAAAGCTATGCTTGCCTCTTTTAATTGTTATAGCTTTATAGTTCCTTTATAACTTTATAAGGTTATTGCTATAACTTTAATTGTTATAACTTTATAGTTCCTTTATAACTTTATAAGGTTATTGCTATAACTTTAACTGGTATAACTTTATAGTCCTTTTTCATGCTAGAAGTATAAATTGTTATGTAGCTTTGACTTAAGGGCTTATATTTTTTGCTTTTAAATTAACATGTACTTATTGTATACTGCTGGTGGAAAGCCAAATTGGTATAACCTTAATGGGTATAAGTTAGCAATATTTATCATACGTGTATTAAAAATTTTTATATCCTTCAAACTAATAATTATCCTCCCATGTACTTGGTCTAAAGAAACAATCTATTAATATAGTCTTGAGATTATGTCAAGGATGATTATTGCAACATTACTGTAATTTCAAACATTTGAAATGGCCAACAATGGATTATCGATTGAATAATTCAGAATTCAGCCATCAGAGGAAATTCTGTGCAGTCATTAAACATTATAATTTAGAAGAGTAATAATTTAGGTAAATATTTATTAACTGAAAGGTTAGTTTACAAAAGAGTGTGTAAAGTATATTCCAATTTAATTTGTTTATATAAATATATCTATGAAGAATATAATAAGCAGACTTGCCAGAAAGGTTAAAGATGATTATCTGGGTAGAAGAATCAAAGACAATTTTAGTTTCATCCTCATGTAGACAATGGGGTCAGTTTGAGAAGGAAATTACCTCCTCTTTCTTCCCTAGAATCTTTTCTTCTTGATGCTCTTTATTTTTTTTAATTATTGGAGTATGGTTGCTTTACCAGGTTGTATTAGTTTCTGTTGCACAACAAAATGAAGCAGTATGCGTATACATGTATCCACTCTTTTTTAAGATTTCCTTCCCATTTAGGTCACCGCAGATCACTGAGTGGGGTTTACTGTGCTAAATAGTTAGCTATTGCTACTAGTTATCTGTTTTATACATGGTAGTGTATATATGTCAACCCCAATCTTCCAATTCATCAGGAAGGAAAAAAATCATTCAATATTGCTTATATATGGCAACTAGACAACAGTACAGATGAGTGTTTGCAAAGCAGAAATAGAGTCACAGATGGAGAGAACAAAATGATGGCTACCAAAAAGGGGAAGAGGGAGTGGGATGAACTGTAAGACTGGGATTGATGCTCCTTAAATCAGTTTAAACTATGACATGTGAAAACTCTGTTTGAGCTTTAGCTCTTCATGTTTTTGCCCTTCTTTGCCTTCCCCTCTCCCCACCAATCAGGATTACCCTCAGGACGTCAGTTTGGACACCGAGCTACATCTCAACATTTGGCAAAACATGACAGAGATAAACCAGAGGACTCATTCTATTTAAATAACCAATGATTTTAGACTCATATGCTTCTTCAACATAGTAATAGGATCAAGGAAGCCCTCCCCCAATCCACTCAGCATTATCTACTGCAGGGATCAGGTGTGGAGGCCAATTGTAATATTATTGAGGTAACTTGTCTCGAAACTAGTCAAGAATTTTGAGGAGTGGTCGCCTTAGTGAAGTATTCAGTCTGACCTAGACTTTGTTTCTGTACCTTATTAATGGCTGTTGATTTGATAAGCACCAGAAACAGTCTTAAAAGGTTGTTGAATGGATTTTAGATCCTGCCAATCATTGTGTTTTCAGAGGTGGTGCTTTGAGGGGATACTTTCCACCAGACTCCAGACGGAACAGAGTCCACTTGTCTGAGCTTTCTTACTTCATGTGTAGGGACAGAGGCACAGAAGTATTCATGAGGCATCCGGCAAGCACAAACTTCACATATTTCAATAGGGATATGAAGCAACATGTCTCTTTTCTTTGTATTCTTCATTTTAAAAGGTCAGTCTATTTATAAAAAAATCATTGTAAATGCCCTCCCCGGTGGTCCAGGGGTTAAGAATCTGTCTTGCAATGCAGGGGACATGGTTTGACCCCTGGTCGGGGAACTAAGATCCCACATGCTACAGAGCAACTAATCCATGCCACAGCTAGAGAGTCCACGTAATGAAAGATCCGCATAACACAACAAAGACCCTGTGTGTTGCAACTAAGACTTGATGCAGCCAAATAAATAAATATATTTTTAAAAAATGGTTACAAATGGATATATGCAATTTTTTTTCTTAGAAAACACCCTAAACTGCAAATGCTTTCATAATTATTAATAATAGACATAACTTACCTAGTACTTTGTGCTAGGTACTATTGCAAGTGCTTTATATATATTAGTTCATTTAATCCTCACACCTCCATAGGTTAACTGCTGTTATTATTATTATCACCATCCTTATTTTATAGATGAGAAAATAGGCTCAAAGTCCCCAGCCCAGGGTTATACAACTAATATGGTGAAGCCAGATTTGGAACCTAGCCAATCCGGTTCTACCACCAGATACTGCCTTGGGTTAGTTAGATATCTTTCTAGAAAGTATTGATATTGATGGGCCTGGTTTTAATAGCAACAGCACCATCCCAAACACCTTGTTTAACCATAATTGTCATTCTAGGGGATGATACTGGCGGACAAGTTTTCCTTTGCTATAAGCTGATATAAAAGGCACACATCACTTGAAAGACAGCCCTATAGTTCCACATCACAAAGAGAAAGTTTATGTTATTCAGGAGATTGTCAGCTAAGTCTTTGAATTAAAGAAAAAAAAAAAAAAGACATTAGAGGACTTCCCTGGTGGTTTAGTGGTTAAGACTCCTTGTTTCCAACACAGGGGTTGCAGGTTCGATTCCTGGTCAGGGAACTAGGATTCCGCATGCCATGCTGCATGGCCCCCCCAAAAAAGTCATCAGTATCAGTATCTGAGCTGAAACTACTGAAACCAAGCCAGAGGTGACCATACCTTTCAGATTATGGTACTAGGCTTAGACTGAGATCACAAACTTTCTGCAAGTGGTAGGCATCAGACCCAGTTTAATTTCTTGCTCTACCACTTACTATTAGGATGACTGCATTTATTTACTTTTTCTAATTTGTTTTAAATGTTGATCTTGTGTAACTCTTCTGCTTAAAATCCTTCAATCTCTTCTAATTTCTTGGTAAGTAAAATCTAAACTCTTAAACATGACCTGCAAGGACAAGTAAAATCTTGTTCTTGCCTACTTTTTCAGTCTCACAGGGAGCTTCTTTCCAGTTCACTCACATCTCTCTGGCCTCACTGGCCTTTCACAAGTTCCTTACACTTCTAGCAGGCTCTTCCCTTTGTTTGACACATTATTTTCTCTCCTTTCACCTGGCTACTCATCTTCCAGGTCTCAGCTTAGATGATCCTGCTTTAGAAAAGAAACTCCCTTCCCTGAATTAGTTTCCCATCCTTTCACTTTATGATCCTTATTCTAACTTGCCATTGGACATTTATTTATGTAATTATGTTTTAACATTTGTCTCTGCTGCTCTTGTTAGCACTTTGTAGTAGCTATGACAAGCTCTGTTTGGTTCCCTAATTTTTATCTAGTATTTAGTATAGTGCCTGGCAATAATAGCCATTTGATAAACATTCATTAAGTAATGAATGAGCCTCCATGCCTTCATGTACAAAAAGGGGCTTTCTAAGATTTCTGGGAAGATTAAATGATATTTATTCACACTCACTCACATATTCCCTGTCTAGTATAGTTCTAACATATTGGTAGATCCCAAATAAATACTAGTTCTTTTTTTTGCCTTTTCCCTTTGATAGTCATGACTCCTCTCTGGGTTCTGCTTAGCTTCTCATAAGTCATGACTGAGGATGATGAACAGTGGCTGGTGGAGATGCTTGGTTTGGGGAATGGGAGAATTCCAGGAAGATGGAGCAGTGTAAATGTAAGCAGAGAGACAGAACATCAAATGCCAAGTTTGAAGAAAAGAAGTTCTCTTGATAGACTAAAACTCAGAGCTATGTAAGAGAACTATGGTAGAAATGTCTGGGTAAAATAGATTTGAATCAGATTTGATGAGTCTTGTTAAGGAGTTTGAATGGGATGTTGAGTCAGGGGTACAGATTTTGGTGTTATTTGCAAGCTTGATTGGGAGGGAAGAAAATTCTAGTGGGATACTTCAGTAGTAGCAAGAAGGAATGCAGAATATCAGGCCAGTTAGGCTTGTGTATAGAATTGTCTATCATTTCTTCTTTCTTTGCTATTTTTTTCTTCTTCCTCTTGAGTGCTGATACTTTTGGACTCTGACAGTATTATTTCCTCTTTATTCTATTCTTTCTCCCTGAGGGTCTCATTCTGTTTACCTGTTATAGGACTGGACTATCTCTTTCATACTTACGAGTGTTAAATCTGTATTTCAGTTCAGAGCATTAGCTCCAGATGCCATCTAGCCAACACTCCCTGGATTTCCCTAAGATAGGTCAATCCTGATGTTTCTAAAATCCAATCCACTGTCTCCCCCCAAACCTTTTCCTATATTTCCTGTCTGTAAGATATAGCATAAGCATCATCCATTCAGAAACCCAAATCACCATCCATTCTTTCTTGCTCTCTTTCCCTCCCGTGTGGAATCAGCATCAAATCCTGTAGATTTTCTCTCTCTAATCTTGACCATTCTCTACTTTCTTCACTCTTCTTCATCCTCAGTGACACTGCGTTAGTTCATGCTTGATGAGTCCTGATCTGGCCAACAATAAGCATGTCCCAATAAGTCTCCTCATCTCTAGTTGAGTATTTTCTTTCACTGCTTTAAGCAATTTTTCTAAGATGCAAATATGTATTACTTCCTAGCTTAAAACTCCTGTTTCTCTTTGTCCCTGGAATGAAGCCTAAGAAGTTTAACATCTTTATTTTGACCTATGAGACGTACCTCTTCCCAGATGAGGTTATTACAAACCCTCTTCAAGCAAATCTGCTCTTTTTTCCTATGTATATCATTCTGTTTTCAGTCCAGACCGAGTGCCTAGCACAATGCCAAATACGTAGCAGGTTTTAATTAATATTTTCCAAAACAAAATGTCCTGAAGGATGAAAACAGACGACATGGCTTTCACGTGGCAAGTAGGAGGGAAAAAACAGAGCCAGGATAAGAGTGAAAACGGGTGATGAAGATAAAGAAAGAACAGTCATTGAAATTAGAGGAGATAAGAATAGACCTTGGCATTAGAGAAGGACAAGAGTAATAAAACCAGCTTGCCTTGATTTCTAAAGAAGAAGGAGCAGGTCAAAACTGTCAAACATAGCAGGAGGGTCAAAGCAGAAGAATGAGAAAAGATGTTTTAATTGGGCTATTAGGAAATCATTGGTGACTTGGGAGATGAGTTTTAAGGAATCAGTGCATGGGAGGTAGAAGCCACATGGTAAATACTGAGGGATGTGTGACAAGGAGGTTGAGGCAAGAAGTGCCCTTGAGAATTTTAATCATACAGCAAAAAATGTTATCAAGGAGTTCACATTATAAGTAGATGCCCCCCTTTTCCCCCAAAGAATGCATATTACAAATATCCTTCCAATTGATTTGGGAAAGTTTAAAAATGTGATGTAGTTAGATTTTACACATTCCTTTCTCTACACCAACTACTTCTAAATCTTGGAGAGATTGGAAGGATAAACATTGTACATGTGAGGAACTAGGTTTGGTTGGGGAGAAAGAAAGAGAAATACCTTTTTATATGTTACTTATCTATTTTTTCAGTTTTTCAAGGCATTTGTGCAGATTTTAAAAGTAATGCGTATTCATTACCATTGTAATATTGTCATATGAAAGGAAATGAAAATCACACATAATTCCTCTGCCCTGAGAAAACTATTAACATATTCATATTATGTGAGTGTGTGAATGTATAAATATACTTATTCCTTAACTTAATTTTAGCATCCTGGCTCAAAGTTTCAATGATTAGATAGCAGTGAGGTGGGTTTATTCATTGTTTGGAAATGATTGGAGCTGCATATAACTATTTTTTTTCCCCCAGTGGAAGCTCCCACTACATTTTTACACTTAACACTTGCGCTGTTTGAGTGTAGTCTAATAACACTGAGGAATTTATGACAAAGTTTTGTGAGTTGCAGGCTAAGGGGCAGAGTTTCTAGGCTTAGTGACCCAAAGAGAGATGGTCAATCAATAGTATATTGTAAAAACTCTACAGAATAAATAATTCAGGCTTTCCTCTTCTTCCAAAATAAACTCACCATCTCAGTGGTTCTTGATGGACTTTTTATTCCCTGACTGCTACCCTCCATGATGTCATAGTTCCTTTGTGACCAGGCCAATGGTCACCCAGGGACTATAACCAGGGGTGTCCTAAGACTCCCCAAGGAGAAGGAGTTCTTAGAATTTTCTGAGCTGTCAGAGGACACAGGACTATGGAGACGAAAGCTCTTGCCATTTCTTACCATATTTCTAGCTGGCAGCTATGGGACCTAGGATTGGATTCTCTATTGAGGCTTTGGGAGAAACTCAAGTTCTCACCTGGAAGAGTTCCACCAGGTTTGCAGAAGAAAGCAAGCAATGCTGTTACCTTGTTCTGGTCCTTTATGGACTCTGTGGTCTCAAGGCACCACTTTTCAGTGTTATGTGAAGCCTGCCCTGTCAACTACAGAGGAGAAGAAACTAGCCTGACTTCTAATGCCAGCCGCACTCTAATATTGCCATTTACCCTGCCTTTTACAGTATTCTTTACATGTCATGCCAGAAAATAAAATAATAATTCTGTGAACCTTTTTACCCCCAATAAGTGCTCACACAATGAATTTAATTAAAATCCCCTTTATCTATTATGCTGACAACAAGGAATTAACAATATCCATTAAAATGACTATTACATTCACATCAACTGGATTTCAATACTGACTAAAATGATATGAAGGAAGCCATAATCATGTGAGGCCCAATATGGTGTATAAATTTTAAACCTTTCGAAACCCTAAATTATTTTAATCTGCAAATGTAACATATTTATCAAAACCCAATGCTATTCCTCCAGGAAAGGGAAGAAAACATGTTATTTCTTGAGAAGAGAGAACCTAGTTTTAATTGAAGCACTGTATTAAAAAATGATGACCACAGAAGAGATATACACTTATTTTAGTTCATTCTTTACCACCATTTCCAATTATGCATTGTATCTAAGCTACGCATTCTCACTCACTACAGGGATAGAAGTTTTTTTTCTGTGGGATATTGCATTCTGGAGGACAAAATGCCAGTTCTTTGCATGTTCCAGCTCCCTTCTGACATCAATCATTGTACAGTAAAAATTCCAAACTTCAGTTAAAAAGAAGACAACTTTGTAAACACCCCTCTAATCACACACAGATTGCAAAATTGTCTGAAAGTTATCTGTTAACCTGTTAGATATTTAAAATAAATCCCACATACCAGGAAAGTAGCCTTGTTAAGACCTTCCTCACATCATTCCCACTTTAAATCACATCAACCCAGGGCTCAATCTATATTCTTTTTTCCTTTGTGATTTTGCTTTTAACCCTATTTGGTACTTGTCCCTTCTCCATTGTTGGGAAGGTCTGAAAGCCTGTCATATTGAGCCTGCTGCTTCTCCATTATTTGCTTTGAACAAACGCTATTATGTTGCCCTAATAACCACAGCTGTGTAAGCGTCGATCGGTCTCTTTTATCATGGCGTAATTTCTATATATGAAAGTGATTTGCCCTCCCTGTCTGCTGATGACTTCCATTGTTTGTATTGATTGACACATGGCTCAACTCTCAACCCTTAGTTCTTGTCGGCTCTTTCTTTCCCTCTCTCCCACTGGAGCAGTTTTAGCCTTTATCCTAAAACATTACTCTAAAATTAATGAAACTAGAGTGGCCGTAGATCTTCAGCGACCAAAAAGGCAGCAGAAAGACTGAATTGCCAAATCTTGAAAAAAAAAAAAAATCTCAGCTCGATGCCTCATTTCTGAGGCATGATTATCATTTTGACTAATGGATTGCTATGCTGACAGCATTATTACCCTCAAGAGTGCCAAGGATTTTAATGGAAACTTGAGACTGGATGCTCTTTGGATGCTGTTTCAGGGACAGCCAGAAGTCCTAGTGATGCTGCTCTAGACTGCAATTGTTTCGAACTAAAGGTCTTTCGGAGGCTTCCCAGGTGGAGCCGTGGTGAAGAACCTGCCTGCCAATGCAGGAGGCACAAGAGAGTTTGGCATGATCCCCTGGAGGAGGAAATGGTAACTCACTGCAGTATTCTAGCCTAGATAATTCCTTGGACACAGGAACCTGGTGGGCCACAGTCCATGTGGTTGCAAAGAGCTGGACATGATGAGCGGCTGAGCACACACATACACACAGAGGCTTTTGGAGCCGGCCAGATTCTGACCTCGGACATGCCTGTGAATGTTGACTATGCCTTGGATATCCCTGTTGATGGTTTTACCACGAGGCCATACTTTTCCAGATAAGACTTTGAATGGGGTCCAGAAGCACAGGAAGCAGGATCAGGAAGAATTTCTATTGCATCTCTTCAAATTGGTTGACTACATGTCTCAAATGAGTAACCTGAGGTTCAGAGAGATTAAATAATTAAAAGTTACTCAACCAATGAAGTGGTAGAGTCAGGATTCAAACTCCAACCCTCTCCTCATTTTATCATGCCTCTGAAGTGGAGTTTGGAGTAGCCCAGCCTCTGTGGTGGACAGTGACCCAGAGTTTTGTGATGACAGAGCAGGTGGAAGTAATTCTTCATGGCTCCCTAACATTCAGACTCAGAGCAACGCGGAGCAATGAAGTGAATGCTGACAAACATTGTAAGCTCACTTGGAGCAATTATTCAGCAGTTGTGAGGTGAATCATAAAGCACCCATTGAATGTAAAAACAGTATCTGCAGCCTCAGATCAGGCCAAATCACTGGTTTTATGTTTTGGATTGACCAAAAATTTCATTCAGCTTTTTTCAAAGGTTTTATGTATTGGATTGGCTAAAAACTTCATTCAGCTTTTTTTCCGCAACATGTTACAAACTTTTGGATCTGCCCAATATTTTGTGTTATTAGCTTTACCTGTTTGGTGTGTGCATGTTTATGCATAGGCATATGTGTGTGTTGTTAGTGTTGTGACTAGTCATGAGATTACTCTGATCCTTATTTACTTTGTAATAAACACAAAACATACCTTCCCTGGTGGCTCAGACTGTAAACTGTCTGCCTATAATGTGGGAGACCTAGGTTCAGTACCTGGGTTGGGAAGATCCCCTGGAGAAGGAAATGGCAACCCACTCCAGTATTCTTGCCTGGAGAATCCCATGGAGGGAGGAGCCTGGTAGTCTACAGTCCATGGGGTTGCAAACAGTTGGACATGACTGAGCGACTTCACGTTCACTTTTTTTCATTTTCAATAGTAATCACCAAATCCTATTGGCTCCGCCTTCAAAACTAATCTGAAATCTGACTACTTCCCACCACCTCCACTATTACCATCTAAGCTTAAAGCCACCATCATCTTTTGCCCAGATCACTCTAAGAACTCCCTAACAGTTGTCTGTGTCCTCCTACGTTCTGTTTTTTACCTCCCAGTTGTAGTCAGAGTGCTCCCTCTAAAACTCTTGTCAGTGCCCTTGGGGGGCCCCCTTCACAGTTGTATTATATGCTTCCCTGCAAAGTCCTTAAGAGCCTACAAGCCTCTGCATGGTCAGAATTCTGCTCATCTTTGGATCCATTTCTTACACTCTGCCTTCTTTCTGCCCTAGCCACACCGCCTCCTTGCTGTTCTCCTCTTACGTCAAATGTGCTTACATGTCAGAATCTTGGCACTTCCTATTCCCTGAACTGAAGCGCTCTGCCTTCAAGGTGCACTCTCATTCACTCAGTCATCTTACTCACATCCGAAAAGGTTTCCTTAAGCCATGCTCCTGCTCGCCACCCGCTGCCCACACATATTCACTTTATTTAAAAAAAAAAAAAAAAAAGAAAGAAAATTTTGTTTTGTGGTCTTTTTAAAATGAATATGTTTATTTTTAATTGGAGAATAATTGCTTTACAGTATTGTGTTAGTTTCTGCATGTATCAGCATGAATCAGCCATAGGTACACATATGTCCCCCTCCCTCTTGAAACTCCCTCCCACCTCCCACCACATTCCGCACCTCTAGGTTGGCACAGAACACTGGGTTTGAGCTCCCTGCATCATACAGCAAATTCCCACTGGCTATCTATGTTGATTATATAATATACATGTTTCAGTGTTACTCTCTTAATCAGTACCTCACTCTCCTTCCCCTACTGTGTCCACAAGTCTGTTCTCCATGTCTGCATCTCCATTGCAGCCCTACAGATATTCATTGCTGCCATCTTTCTAGATTTCATATACATGTGTTAATATATGACATTTGTTTTTGTCTTTCTGACTTACTCTGTATAATAGGTTCTAGGTTCATCCACCTCATTAGAACTAATTCAAATGTGTTCCTTTTATGGCTAAGTAATATTCTAGAAACAATATTACTTTGTACAATGTTCCATTGTCTATGAAATATTACTTTGTTATGGATAAAGAACACATCTTTATCCATTCATCCATTGATGGACATTTGCTTCCAGGTCCTAGCTATTGTAAATAGTGCTGCAATGAACACTGGGGTACATGTGCCTTTTTCAATTATGATTTCCTCAGGGTATATGCCCAGTAGTGGGGTTGTTGGGTCATGTGGTAGTTGTATTCCTAGTTTTTAAAGGAATCTCCATACTGTTCTCCATAGTGGCTGTACCAATTTACTTTCCCACCAACAGTGCAAGAAGATTCCCTTTTCTCTACACCCTCTCCAGCATTTATTGTTTGTAGATTTTTTAATAATGGCTACCTGCCTCCTGAGAAATCTGTATGCAGATCAAGAAGTCCTAGTTAGAACTGGACATGGAACAACAGACAGGGAGGCCTGGCGTGCTGTGGCTCATGGGGTGGCAAAGAGTCGGACACGACTGAGCGACTGAACTGAACTGAACTGTTTCTGAGTGGTGTGAGGTGAGGCCCCGTTGTAATTTTTATTTGCATTTCTCTATTACTGAGTGCTGTTGAGCATCTTTTCATGTGATTAATAGCCATCAGTATGTCTTCTTTGGAGAAATGTCTGTTTAGGTCTTCTGTCCACTTTTTGATGGGGTTGTTTGTTTTTCTGGTATTGAGCTTCATGAGCTGCTTGTGTATTTTGGTGATTAGCACTTTGTCAGTTGCTTCCTTTGCTGTTATTCTCTCCCATCTGAAGGTTGTCTTTTCACCATGTTGCAGTGTGGGGATCTTGATCCTGTCATGCGGGATCTTTC